TTGAGCCATCAGAGAGTCCATGGGCTTCAGCAGTGGTAATGGTGCCGCGGAAAAATAGTTCCAGATGGCGATTCTGCATAGATTATAGGCAGCTCAACAAAGATATGGAAAAAGATTCATATCCCCTACATAGAGTAGATGAGTCACTTGACTTGGCGGCTGGTTCGTCCTGGTTCTCCACCCTTGACTTGAGGAGCGGATACTGGCAAGTGCCATTGTCTCCTGAGTCTGCTCCCAAAACTGCATTCCGTACAAATAAAGGCCTCTGGCAGTTCAAGGTCCTTCCGTTTGGGCTCTGCAATGCTCCCGCCCCATTCGAATGGCTCATGGACAAGGTGCTGGAAGGAGTCCCTCACCGTGAGTGTCTTGTATATTTGGATGAACTTCTAGTCCATGGGGAGTCTTTCGATGAAGCACTTGAATCACTCCGACGGGTGCTGGGAAGAGTAGCGGCAGCAGGTCTGAAGCTGTATCCAGATAAGTGCCACCTTATGAGGCGGGAGGTTGAATTCCTTGGTCACAAATTGGGAAGGGAAGGCATAGGCACCCTGGAGGAGAAAATTAATACCATCAGAGACTGGTCAACCCCTACAGACCTGAGACAATTGAAAGGTTTTCTGGGACTAGCCTCTTACTATAGGAGATTAGTAAGGGGGTTCTCTTGCATGGGGTGCCACTCTTCCGCCTCCAGCAATAAAAGACCATGCCTTTGTCTGGACTGATGAGTGCCAGAAGGCATTTGATACACTTCGGCAGGCGATGATTGAGGCTCCAATCCTTGTTCCACCTGACGCCGCACTGCCTTTTATTTTAGACATGGACGCAAGCAATGTTGGCATGGGGGCGGTGTTATCGCAGGAAGGGCCTGACGGAGAGAGGGTGGTGGCATACCTTAGCAGGGTCTTTAACAAGAGTGAGAGGCGGTATTGTGTCACCAGACGTGAGCTCCTTGCAGTGGTAATGGCAGTGAGGCACTTCAAATACTACCTGTGTGGCACACTATTCACGATAAGGACGGACCATGTGGCGCTCCAATGGTTGATGTCCTTAAGGAGCCTGAAGGTCAAGTGGCCCAGTGGCTTGAAGAACTACAGTCCTGCAACTTTACAGTAGTGCACAGAGCTGGATCTAGCCACACCAATGCCGATGTCTTGTCACGTCGCCCTTGTGCTGCTGAGGGCTGCCGTCATTGTAAAAATAAGGAGACTCGGGAAAAGTAGCTGGGTCAAGAGAATGAGGCAGCACAACCAGCATATGGGACACTGAGGGTGGTTGACACAACAGAGTGGCAGTTGCAGCAGGAACAGGATGACGACCTGAGACCTGTGCTGCGTTGGTTGGAAGCGCAACAGAGACCTGAGTGGGGAGATATTGCAGGGTGTTCCTTGGCCACAAAAGGACTGTGGTCCAAATTCAACACACTGCGGCTCAGCGATGGAGTGCTCCAGTGGGCATGGAAAGAGCCTGCCATGGGGTACGACAGATGGCAAGTGGTAGTGCCCAAGGCGTTGAGGGAAGCAGTGCTTACAGCTTGCCATGGAAGTATGGGGACTTGCCATTTCGGGGTGTCCAAAACACTCCGCCATCTTCGCCAAGGGTTCTACTGGGGTCAGCACAGAAGGGATGTAGAGGATTTTTGCTGCAGATGTGATGCCTGTGCAGCCTATAAAGGCCTTCTTGACCAGTCCCATGCTGAACTTCAGCAGCAAGGTGTAGGGGCACCAATGGAAAGAGTAGCTGTGGACATCATGGTCCCCTTCCCCATCACAGAGAGAGGTAACCGTTTTGTACTCACTGCTATGGACTATTTTACAAAGTGTCCCGAGGCCTATGCGATACCGAACCAGGAAGCAGAGACGGTGTCGGATGCACTGGTAGAAGGGATGTTCAGCAGGTTTGGTATGGCAGAGGTCGTTCATAGCGATCAGGGGAGGAATTTTGAACCCAAGCTGTTTGCAGCCCTGTGTGAACGGCTTGGCATGCAGAAAACACGCACAATACCATTGCATCCACAAATCGATGGCCTTGTTGAAAGATTTAATATGACCATGGGCCAGCAGCTAGCCATACTTACAGCAGACCATCAGCGGGACTGGGACACTCACCTTCCTTTCATTCTCATGGCCTACAGATCAGCGGTACAGCACTCCACTTTGTGCACCCCCTGCTTTGCTTACTTTGGGGTGTGAGCTCCAGACACCCCCAGAGTTGTTGTTCGGGAAACCCCCAGACACACCAGCTGTGCCAGCCGGACCAGAGTATGCAAGGCAGCTGCAGGATCGAATGGAAACTGCCCATGTGTTTGCTAGGGATCAGCTGGGAAAGGCCGGTGTGAGACCGAAGAGGAACTATGATGCCAGGATAAAAGGGAGGAACTTCGAGTCAGTTTGGGTGTACAGCCCGAAAAAGAAGAGGGGACGTTCCCCAAGCTGGACTGCCATTGGGTGGGCCACTGTCTGGTTCTAGAGAGGGTGGGAGCGGTAGTGTATAGGGTCCAGATGCCGCATAGAGGCAGGAAGGTAGCCCTGCATAGAGATAGGCTAGCCCCGTACAGAGGTAACCTGTCCGTTTCTTTTCAAAAGAGGGGGCCCAACCCCCTGGCCTCACAAAATGACATGGACAATGACCCTAGGCCCAAGCCACACACTCCAGTTGTTCAGGAGCCCCTTTCCTCAAACACCCCACAATCAGCCACTTCTCGTGGCCTTTACCCTGTGTCCCATGTCCCTACCCCCCATTTCTTGACTTTTAATAAAGATACAGAGCGACTGAGAACGCCTGGTTTCATTAGTAGCGGAATGCTACAAATATATATATATATATATATACAGTGGGTACGGAAAGTATTCAGACCCCCTTAAATTTTTCACTCTTTGTTATATTGCAGCCATTTGCTAAAATCATTTAAATTATTTATTTTTCCTCATTAATGTACACACAGCACCCCATATTGACAGAAAAACACAGAATTGTTGACATTTTTACAGATTTATTAAAAAAGAAAAACTGAAATATCACATGGTCCTAAGTATTCAGACCCTTTGTACAGTATTTAGTAGAAGCACCCTTTTATTAAAACTGTTATTACGTTTTGTGCTCAAATTTATTATATTGTAAACATTGTTTTAAATTATGTGCTGATATTACCTTATGAACTGTGATTACATTATAATTTGTCACAGTGTGTTCATAATGTAATAAATTATCATACAATAACCTATTACATTATGTGAAAAATTGTTATTACATTAAAAAAATATTATTACATTATGAGCTCAAGATTTTATTTATTTATTTGTTTTAAAAAAACCACAGAACAATGAACAGCAAATTATTAAAACAACAAAATGCTGCAATATATTTTGTTTTAAAGGGGTCATATGATGCGATTTCAAGTTTTCCTTGGTAAACGTTGGTGGACAGCCATTTTTAGGTCTCTCCAGAGATGCTCAATTGGGTTTAAGTCAGGGCTCTAGCTGGGCCATTCAAGAACAGTCACAGAGTAGCTTTTTATATTAAAAAAAAGTTCACTATGTAGCCTAATTTTCTTATTTTACATAAAACTGTTATTACGTTTTGTGCTCAAATTTATTATATTGTAAACATTGTTTTAAATTATGTGCTGATATTACCTTATGAACTGTGATTACATTATAATTTGTCACAGTGTGTTCATAATGTAATAAATTATCATACAATAACCTATTACATTATGTGAAAAATTGTTATTACATTAAAAAAATATTATTACATTATGAGCTCAAGATTTTATTTATTTATTTGTTTTAAAAAAACCACAGAACAATGAACAGCAAATTATTAAAACAACAAAATGCTGCAATATATTTTGTTTTAAAGGGGTCATATGATGCGATTTCAAGTTTTCCTTTCTCTTTGGAGTGTTACAAGCTGATTGTGCATAGATAAGGTCCCTGAAGTTGCAAAGACTAAAGTCTCAAAACCAAAGAGATATTCTTTATCAAAGTTAAGACTCTGCCACGCCCCCCTAAAATGGCTCATTCTAACACTCCCCCACATATCTACCTCACTATGTGGAAATATTTGCATAATGTGGCCCAAATGTGCATGCAAAGAAAGAAGGCGTGGTTTCAGTAACCACAGTTAGTGTTGAAGCAGCCATGTCAGGGAGACGCTGTGTGTTTCTAGGCGAAAGCAAAAGCACTTTATTTGGCCTTCCGAAAGTAGATGCATTTAGGAATCTTTAAGATTACTTACAACAGAACAGCAATGCATTTTATGGACGACCGTTTCATGAACCTAGGAGAGGAGGGAATTCTGTCTTTGCTATGACAATCTGGCACTTCTGAATCAGCTACTGTTTTGTTATTAGTTAAAGTTTTTGCTATTGACTGTTCAAATGCGGAGTTTTGCACATGGTGTGTGTGCGTGCGCGCGTGTGTGAGAGAGAGCGAGAGAGAGAGAGAGCGTCACATCACAGTGGAGTCAGCTGTCTTAACCGTGGCTTGTGTACTGCAAACACATACCAGCTTCATCACTGTGTCTGTCACGCGACTCTATTCCCCTTTCAGGCTCTGTCTTTACATTTATTTTGAAAGATGAAGCTCGCGATTATGGTAAGGGGCGTTACATTTCCGACGAGTGCTTGCGGTGTTCGGCCAATCACAATGCACTGGTTCAGCTGGCCAATCAGAGCAGACTGCGCTTGTCGGAAGGAGGGACTTTGTAGAAAACGAAGCGTTTGAGAGAGGCGGGGAATAGAGGACCTATAATAATGTACAGTATTTGAAAAATAATGTGTTTTTTGAACATTAAAGCATGTCAACATATTCTGTTACACCAAATACACAAAATAATGATCTTTAAAAAAGCATCTTATGACCCCTTTAATATGACAAAAAACAGTGAACGATTATCAAAAAGGTGTTTATTCTCTTGGCAATGAAAAACACATTAAAACAAACTTGCATAATAATTATCTAATAATAATAATAATAATTATTATTATTATTATTATTATATATTTATTGATAAACTCTCAGATCACAGTTGTGCTTCCTCAGTACTACCCCCACCTTCTGTGATTGGCTCCTGCTTGACTAAGGAATTAATCAGGAGATTTTCAAAATCAGCAGGAATTAGACAGATATATTGAGGCAGTGTGTCTTGTGACTGTTTTTCCATCAGCTTCTTTAAAGACAAATCAATTGATGTTAGGGTGTTGTTCATTGTTTTAAACTGGTTTTCCAGAAATGTAATTAACTGCATCTGGCCTGTCTTCTCAGTCTCTTCAGAAGCATCAGGGTTCTGCCTTTCAGCAGGTGAATCACTGAAGTTCAGCTGAGCTGCTTCACCCGCTGCTTCATCTATGGTCTGACCGGCCTCCTCTACGACAGGAGATACTGCATGTTCTGTAGCATCAGTGGGAGAATCACTGAAATTCAGCTGAGCTGCTGCTGCTGCTGCTGCTTCATCTGTGGTCTGATTGGCCTCCTCTATGATAGGAGATACTGCAGGTTCTGTAGCATCAGTGGGAGAATCAATGGAGTTTAGCTGAGCTGCTGCTGCTTCATCTGTGGTCTGATTGGCCTCCTCTACGATAGGAGATACTGCAGGTTCTGTAGCATCAGCGGGAGAATCACTGAAGTTCAGCTGAGCTGCTGCTGCTTCATCTGTGGTCTGATTGGCCTCCTCTACGACAGGAGATAATGCAGGTTCTGTAGCATCAGTGGGAGAATCACAGCAGCTCAGCTGAGCTGCTGCTGCTTCACCTGCTGCTTCATCTGTGGTCTGATCGGCTTCATCTATGACAGGAGATACTGCAGGTTCTGTAGCATCAGCGGGAGAATCACTGAAGTTCAGCTGAGCTGCTGCTGCTTCATCTGTGGTCTGATTGGCCTCCTCTACGACAGGAGATAATGCAGGTTCTGTAGCATCAGTGGGAGAATCACAGCAGCTCAGCTGAGCTGCTGCTGCTTCCCCTGCTGCTTCATCTGTGGTCTGATCGGCTTCATCTATGACAGGAGATAATGCAGGTTCTGTAGCATCAGTGGGAGAAACACTGAAGTTCAGCTGGGCTGCTGCTGCTGCTTCACCCGCTGCTTCATCTGTGGTCTGATCGGCCTCGTCTGCGACAGTAGATGCTGCAGGTTCTGTAGCATCAGTGGGAGGTGCAGGTGAATCTTGGTTTGGGGAAGAACAAAGAGATAAATCATGAGTAGTCTATAGCACACACAAACACAAACAAGTTATACAAAGTATGAAATGATAAAATACAAAGTAAAAAAACAAATATTAGTACCACTCAAAATTCAGTAATAGACACTGGTAAGAGTTTTCAAATGCAGATGGTTACTGTTCAACTATGAATATTCTTATTATAATGAGAAGCAAAAAGATTAAATGTGAAAGTAACCAAAGGTCTTCATTGTCTAATAAAAATATGTATTTTTAAAAATCATAAAGTTCAAAATAAGAAATATAATAAAATAATACTAAACATAATATATAGAAAATAAAAGAGCTCACTAACCTCTAGCATTGGCAGTAGATTCTACTGTTTCTGTGATCTTTTTACTGAGATTTTCAGCTAAAATCAAAGATTCTCTCCTGTTCTGTACCTATAAAGAAAGGATAAGATTAAATCTTTATGTGTTAATGGAAGACGTGTGGGCACAGTAATTGGGTACGTTTCAGTAACTGAGGGATAAGGTGAAATATAAAGTTAGTTATCTGGGTAATTGTACATATGTAGTTATTTTTATATAATGACTCCCTCAGAATATGAGCAGAATTCTTCCAGTGTCAAGCTGTTGTTTACATTATTATTTAATAAATAATTATTATAATTTATTCGGTTACACTTTACTTGAAGGGGTGTGCATAAGACTGACATGACACCTTCATAATCATGACATGACACAGGTCATGAATGTGAAGGTTTTTTATGCATATTTATGACAACTGTCATTAAGTGTCATTCGCTCAGTTATGTCATTTTTAATGCAAAGATGACATTGTTTGAGATGTCTTTGTTATGGGCTATGGTTAGGGGTAAGGGTAGGGGTAGGGGTAGGGTTAGGTTAGGGTTAGGTCAAATAATGTCATATTTGCATTAAAAATGACATAACTGAGCGAATGACACTTAATGACAGTTGTCATAAACATGCATAAAACCTCCTTCATATTCATGACATGTGTCATGTCATGATTATGAAGGTGTCATGTCAGTCTTATGCACACCCCTTCAAGTAAAGTGTTACCATTTATTCTTATTTGAAACTATAGAATATTAAGCAGAGTCTACTGCTGTTATGACATCCAGTCAATAATAATAATATAAATGTATGTATTTCAATTTATGGTTATACATCATCATGCACATGCTAAACTCAACTCTACAAAATAGGATAATACTGTCACGTGTTAGGTTCTGTTTAGTTCCTGTCTGTTCTTATTTGGCTCATTTCCAGTTCTCATTTAGTTAATCATCGCTCATTCTTTTCACCTGTGTTGATTAGTCATCTAGTTTGCTCCTTTGTTTCCCTGTCTTTATAAACCTGCAGTTTCTGTCTGTTTGTCGTCCTGGATTAATGTTATTTTAAATGGTCTCTGTGTGTTGATGCTAATTAAAGACTCCTTTACTTCTACTCCTTGTGGAGCGCAATTACGACAACCACGACCACGTGACAAATACACATACAATAATAACTTACAATTGATCAATACATGCACATCTCACCATTTTGACTTTTTCAGCAACAGATACAGACTCATCTGAAGAACTGTCTGTATGTGGTAGAAAACAAACAAAAACCATAAGCATTTTAGGGTCAATGTAGATACTGCCTTTCCTTGCCTTGCCTTCACTAACAATAAGAGAAAAAGCTCTTTGGCAATCTAGTCTCGTCATCAACCTTGCTTAATATGTGCAAAACATCCTCAAGCAATTATAGTGGGGATCAGAGAACTAAAGAACAGGTAATTAACAGTAGATGGTGTGATGTTGAGACAGAGATCACTAATGGTAGATCACTAACTAATGAATCTGAAATGCAAATGTTCATTCAAACTCACCCAGCTGGAATGTTTCCTCTTCAATTCGACACACAGGTATTTCCAGACTTTTGGAAAACAATCTTTTCAAGGACTTTGTCGGTGTCACCTATGGTAAAATATAATGGTAGTGATTTTAAAACATCTCGGCATGATAATAACTTAATGGATCATTGTCAAAAGTAATCTATAGACCCAAAAAAGTCAAAAACATCAAAGTGGATTCCGACAGAATACAATTACTGTTGTGAGGCTGAACTACAACATATGAATGTGATTCATGTTCTATGGGTTATGGGCTTATAACTTGTGCATTGGTTCTGTACATACAAAATACCTCTCTGATTGACTCCCTCATTTGTCCTGATACTGCAGGTTCTGTAGCATCAATGGGAGGTGCAGGTGAATCTTGGTTTGTGGAAGGACAAATAGATAAATCATGAGGACGAGGATGAGTGACAGCACACACAAATACAAACAGGTTAGACAAAGTCTGAAATGGTAAAATACAAAGTAAAACAAACAAATAATAGTACCACTCAGAAATTCAGTAATAGACACTTGTAAGACTTTTCAAAGGCCGATGGTTACTGTTCAACTGTAAATAAAATATTCTTATTCTAATGAGAAGAGATGTGAAAGTGTCATGATCTCCAGCTAGAGTGCCCATAAGCTCCACCGGAGGGCACTTCAACCCTGACTCTTGCCACTCTACCCCGTACTCCATTTCCCATAACCTTCTGCCAGGAACCAATTTACAGACACCCCGTTTCCAATCAGGAGGACTATTTAAGTTGGACACTTGCTCATACTCTTTGCTAAGTATTGTTTGTACATTTGTTACTGCATTCCATTTTTTCACCTTTCCTTTCCTTGCCTTCGTGTTTTTAACTTACCTAGATTTCCATTATTGTTTTGCTGCCTGCCCTGATCATTTCCTATTTTCTGGTTTACTCTTTTTCCCGCCTTGGATGTTGTTGTGTTTGCTGATGATTGACCCTGCCTGTACAACCAAGAATTAGTGTTGTCAAAAGTACCGACCGCGATACCATTCAATACTGAAATTTTAAAAATGTCCATTTCCCACTAAGATTTGAGCGCTGATCCATCTGTCAGAACACAATGACCAATCAGCACTGTTTAAGAATCTGCTCAACAGTGCTCAAATCTTCATGGGGAATGGATGTTTTTAAATTTCAGTAGTGATGGGAAACCGAGGCTTTCTGAACCAGTTCTCACTCCAGAGCCACTTGCTATCACGGCCGAAGCCATAGAGACTGTCACAAAGCATCCAAGAATGACATCCAGTGTGGAGGATCCTTACGAGTGGCTGGCTACCCCCCAAATCAGCACTCTCTAACATCGCAGTTTCAGCACTCTCAAGCAACATGGATTCAACACTCTCAACCGATGCCGTTTCTGCACTCTCAAGCGATACGTCTTCTGAGCTCTCAAACAATGCAGTTTCGGCGCTCTCAAGCAACAGGGTTTTAGCACTCTCAATGCTTCCCAGCCCAGAGCCTCTTCACAAGATGGCCGCCAGCCCAGAGCCTCTTCACAAGATGGCTGTCAGCCTAGAGCCTCTTCACAAGATAGTCGCCAGCCTAGAGTCTCTTCACAACATGGTCACACGCAAGAGTCTCATCCCATCATGGACGCCACACCAGAGTCTCATCCCGTCATGGCCACCACGCCACAGTCTTCAGTCATCACGGATTCCACTCCTGTGTTCCTGGTCATTGTGAACGTTGCACTTGAAGACACTCAGGCATTCCAAAGACATTTGGGACTGATCTCCAGTTTGACGGACCCACCACTGGTTTCAGCCAGAGCAGCTGGCATCCCAAGTGCCTCATCACTGTCTGTCCCAGAGTCTACTCCTGTCCAGGAGCCTCCAGAGCTCACTCCTGTCTATGAGTCTGCTCCAGAGCTTGTTCCAGGCTATGAGTCGGATCCATAGCCCGCTCCAGTCTATGAGTCTGATCCAGAGCCCACTGCAGAATCTCCCAAGGCGGCGGCGTCTGCTCCAGCTCCTCCCAAGGTGGTGGCATCCGCTGCAGAATCTCCAGAGGTGGCGACTTCTGCTGCAGAACCTCCTGAAGCGGCGGCAGTGTCTGCCTCAGCTCCTCTCAAGGGGCTGGCGGCCATTAATGAACTCTCTGCCTGTCCGGCCACAGCCAAGGAGGCCGTTTATGAACTCTCTGACTGTCCTGTTATGGCCGCAGAGGCCGCTGTTGACCTCTCTTTGCTTTCTATTCCAGTTCTACCTGATCCGCCTTGGTTGTCATCTGCCTTACTAGCTCCAAGTTGGAGGACGTCTGCTCTGCTGTGGTGGTCATCTGCTCCACCGTGAGGATCTTTGGACCCATCTGCTCTGCTGTGGTGGCCATCAGCCCACCTGCTCCACCATGGTGGTCTTCTGCTCCGCCTTGGTGGTCTTCAGCCCGTCCTGGTGGTCTTCAGCTCCACCCTGGTGGTCTTAAGCCTTGCCTGTTCTGCTGGCTACGCCCTGGCTCCCTGCTCTGCTGGTTCTGCCTTGGCTCTTTGCTCTGCCTGAGTCCCCAGATCCTCCTCTTCTTGCACAGTGATTTAGCCCTCTGTCCCGCCTCCACTCCACCTCCCTCTTGGACTTAATTCTGTTCTTATTTAGGAGAGTATGGAAGCTGCACATGAGCTCCACCAGAGGCCACTCTACCCTGGACTCCATTTCCCATAACCCTCTGCCTAGGAACTAATTTACAGACACACCCCATTTCCAACCAGGAGCACTATTTAAGTTGGACACTTGCTCATACGCTTTGCTGATTAGGCCTATAGTTTGTATGTTTGTTACTGCATTCCTTTCCATTTCTAGTTTCGGTGTTTCCCTGTGTTTCCTTACCTTTCCTTTCCTTGCCTTGCCTTGCCTTCATGTTTTTTGACCTTGGATTCTTTACCTGGTTTTCCATGATTGTGTTACTGCCTGCCCTGACCATTGCCTGTTTTATTGATTACTCTTTTGTCTCGCCTTGGATGTTGTTGTGATTGCTGATTACTGAATCTGCCTGTACAACCAAAAATATGATAAAGCCAGCAAACGTATCCTTAGCCCTGCTGTCATGCTCCTTGTTACAGAAAGTAACCAAAGGTCTTCACAGTTTAATAAAAATATGGAATTTTAAAAATCATAAAGTTCAAAATAAGAGAAATATCATAATATATTGAAAATAAAATAGCTCACTAACCTCTAGCACTGGCAGTAGATTCTACCGGTTCTGTGATCTTTTTACGGAGAGTGTCAGCTAAAATTACAGATTCTCTCCTGTTCTGTTCCAAAAAAGGATATGATTAAAGCAATGCTTCATTTGTTAATGGAGGATATGTGGGTACAGTAAATGGGTACATTTCAGTAACTGAGGGAGAAGGTGAAATATAAAGTTAGTTATTTGGGTAATTGTACTGTACATATTTAATTATTTTTAATAACTCCCTCAGAATGTAAGCAGAATTCTTCCAGTGTCAAGCTTATTTAATAGAATGATTATTATTATTTATTCTTATTTCAAACTATAGAATATTAAGCAGAGTCTACTGCTGTTATGACATCCTGTCATTAATAATAATAATAATGTATATATTTCCATTTATGGTTATACATAATCATGCACATGCTAAACTCAACTCTACAAAATAGGATAATACTGTCACGTGTTAGGTTCTGTTTAGTTCCTGTCTGTTCTTATTTGGCTCATTTCCAGTTCTCATTTAGTTAATCATCGCTCATTCTTTTCACCTGTGTTGATTAGTCATCTAGTTTGCTCCTTTGTTTCCCTGTCTTTATAAACCTGCAGTTTCTGTCTGTTTGTCGTCCTGGATTAATGTTATTTTAAATGGTCTCTGTGTGTTGATGCTAATTAAAGACTCCTTTACTTCTACTCCTTGTGGAGCGCAATTACGACAACCACGACCACGTGACAAATACACATACAATAATAACTTACAATTGATCAATACATGCACATCTCACCATTTTGACTTTTTCAGCAACAGCTACAGACTCATCTGAAGAACTGTCTGTATGTGGTAGAAAACAACCATAAACATGTTTAGGGTTAATGTAGATGACCACATAAAAAACAGAAATACCAACAATAAGAGAAAAGGCTCTTTGTTAATCTAGACTCAGCAGCCTGGTTTAATATGTGCAAAACGTCCTCAAGCAAGTATCTTGGGGATCAGAGACTGGTAAGAGTTTTTAAAGGTCGATGTTTACTGTTCAACTATAAATATTCTTATTCTAATGAGAAGCAAAAACGAGAGATGTGAAAGAAACCATGGGTCTTCACAGTCTCATAAAAATATGGAATTTTAAAAATCATAAAGGTCAAAATAAGAGAAATAACATAATATATAGAAAATAAAAGAGCTCACTAACCTCTAGCATTGGCAGTAGATTCAGTAGAACACTGATTTTTATTTACAGATTCTCTCCTGTTCTGTGCCAAAAAGAAAGGATAAGATTAAAGCAATGGTTCATGTATTAATGGAGGATATGTGGGCACAGTAATTAGGTACATTTCAGTAACTGAGGGAGAAGGTTAAATATAAAGTTAGTTATTTGGGTTGATTCAGCGGTTGATCACTACATGCACATCTCACCATTTTGACTCTTACAGCAACAGGCACAGACTCATCTGAAGAACTGTCTGTATGTGGTAGAAAACAACCATAAACATGTTTAGGGTTAATGTAGATGACCACATAAAAAACAGAAATACCAACAATAAGAGAAAAGGCTCTTTGTTAATCTAGACTCAGCAGCCTGGTTTAATATGTGCAAAACGTCCTCAAGCAAGTATCTTGGGGATCAGAGACTGGTAAGAGTTTTTAAAGGTCGATGTTTACTGTTCAACTATAAATATTCTTATTCTAATGAGAAGCAAAAACGAGAGATGTGAAAGAAACCATGGGTCTTCACAGTCTCATAAAAATATGGAATTTTAAAAATCATAAAGGTCAAAATAAGAGAAATAACATAATATATAGAAAATAAAAGAGCTCACTAACCTCTAGCATTGGCAGTAGATTCAGTAGAACACTGATTTTTATTTACAGATTCTCTCCTGTTCTGTGCCAAAAAGAAAGGATAAGATTAAAGCAATGGTTCATGTATTAATGGAGGATATGTGGGCACAGTAATTAGGTACATTTCAGTAACTGAGGGAGAAGGTTAAATATAAAGTTAGTTATTTGGGTTGATTCAGCGGTTGATCACTACATGCACATCTCACCATTTTGACTCTTACAGCAACAGGCACAGACTCATCTGAAGAACTGTCTGTATGTGGTAGAAAACAACCATAAACATGTTTAGGGTTAATGTAGATGACCACATAAAAAACAGAAATACCAACAATAAGAGAAAAGGCTCTTTGTTAATCTAGACTCAGCAGCCTGGTTTAATATGTGCAAAACGTCCTCAAGCAAGTATCTTGGGGATCAGAGACTGGTAAGAGTTTTTAAAGGTCGATGTTTACTGTTCAACTATAAATATTCTTATTCTAATGAGAAGCAAAAACGAGAGATGTGAAAGAAACCATGGGTCTTCACAGTCTCATAAAAATATGGAATTTTAAAAATCATAAAGGTCAAAATAAGAGAAATAACATAATATATAGAAAATAAAAGAGCTCACTAACCTCTAGCATTGGCAGTAGATTCAGTAGAACACTGATTTTTATTTACAGATTCTCTCCTGTTCTGTGCCAAAAAGAAAGGATAAGATTAAAGCAATGGTTCATGTATTAATGGAGGATATGTGGGCACAGTAATTAGGTACATTTCAGTAACTGAGGGAGAAGGTTAAATATAAAGTTAGTTATTTGGGTTGATTCAGCGGTTGATCACTACATGCACATCTCACCATTTTGACTCTTACAGCAACAGGCACAGACTCATCTGAAGAACTGTCTGTATGTGGTAGAAAACAACCATAAACATGTTTAGGGTTAATGTAGATGACCACATAAAAAACAGAAATACCAACAATAAGAGAAAAGGCTCTTTGTTAATCTAGACTCAGCAGCCTGGTTTAATATGTGCAAAACGTCCTCAAGCAAGTATCTTGGGGATCAGAGACTGGTAAGAGTTTTTAAAGGTCGATGTTTACTGTTCAACTATAAATATTCTTATTCTAATGAGAAGCAAAAACGAGAGATGTGAAAGAAACCATGGGTCTTCACAGTCTCATAAAAATATGGAATTTTAAAAATCATAAAGGTCAAAATAAGAGAAATAACATAATATATAGAAAATAAAAGAGCTCACTAACCTCTAGCATTGGCAGTAGATTCAGTAGAACACTGATTTTTATTTACAGATTCTCTCCTGTTCTGTGCCAAAAAGAAAGGATAAGATTAAAGCAATGGTTCATGTATTAATGGAGGATATGTGGGCACAGTAATTAGGTACATTTCAGTAACTGAGGGAGAAGGTTAAATATAAAGTTAGTTATTTGGGTTGATTCAGCGGTTGATCACTACATGCACATCTCACCATTTTGACTCTTACAGCAACAGGCACAGACTCATCTGAAGAACTGTCTGTATGTGGTAGAAAACAACCATAAACATGTTTAGGGTTAATGTAGATGACCACATAAAAAACAGAAATACCAACAATAAGAGAAAAGGCTCTTTGTTAATCTAGACTCAGCAGCCTGGTTTAATATGTGCAAAACGTCCTCAAGCAAGTATCTTGGGGATCAGAGACTGGTAAGAGTTTTTAAAGGTCGATGTTTACTGTTCAACTATAAATATTCTTATTCTAATGAGAAGCAAAAACGAGAGATGTGAAAGAAACCATGGGTCTTCACAGTCTCATAAAAATATGGAATTTTAAAAATCATAAAGGTCAAAATAAGAGAAATAACATAATATATAGAAAATAAAAGAGCTCACTAACCTCTAGCATTGGCAGTAGATTCAGTAGAACACTGATTTTTATTTACAGATTCTCTCCTGTTCTGTGCCAAAAAGAAAGGATAAGATTAAAGCAATGGTTCATGTATTAATGGAGGATATGTGGGCACAGTAATTAGGTACATTTCAGTAACTGAGGGAGAAGGTTAAATATAAAGTTAGTTATTTGGGTTGATTCAGCGGTTGATCACTACATGCACATCTCACCATTTTGACTCTTACAGCAACAGGCACAGACTCATCTGAAGAACTGTCTGTATGTGGTAGAAAACAACCATAAACATGTTTAGGGTTAATGTAGATGACCACATAAAAAACAGAAATACCAACAATAAGAGAAAAGGCTCTTTGTTAATCTAGACTCAGCAGCCTGGTTTAATATGTGCAAAACGTCCTCAAGCAAGTATCTTGGGGATCAGAGACTGGTAAGAGTTTTTAAAGGTCGATGTTTACTGTTCAACTATAAATATTCTTATTCTAATGAGAAGCAAAAACGAGAGATGTGAAAGAAACCATGGGTCTTCACAGTCTCATAAAAATATGGAATTTTAAAAATCATAAAGGTCAAAATAAGAGAAATAACATAATATATAGAAAATAAAAGAGCTCACTAACCTCTAGCATTGGCAGTAGATTCAGTAGAACACTGATTTTTATTTACAGATTCTCTCCTGTTCTGTGCCAAAAAGAAAGGATAAGATTAAAGCAATGGTTCATGTATTAATGGAGGATATGTGGGCACAGTTATGTTTGTTACTGCATTCCTTTCCATTTCTAGTTTCGGTGTTTCCCTGTGTTTCCTTACCTTTCCTTTCCTTTCCTTGCCTTGCCTTCATGTTTTTTGACCTTGGATTCTTTACCTGGTTTTCCATGATTGTGTTACTGCCTGCCTGACCATTGCCTGTTTTATTGATTACTCTTTTGTCTCGCCTTGGATGTTGTTGTGATTGCTGATTACTGAATCTGCCTGTACAACCAAAAATATGATAAAGCCAGCAAGCGTATCCTTAGCCCTGCTGTCATGCTCCTTGTTACAGAAAGTAACCAAAGGTCTTCACAGTTTAATAAAAATATGGAATTTTAAAAATCATAAAGTTCAAAATAAGAGAAATATCATAATATATTGAAAATAAAATAGCTCACTAACCTCTAGCACTGGCAGTAGATTCTACCGGTTCTGTGATCTTTTTACGGAGAGTGTCAGCTAAAATGACAGATTCTCTCCTGTTCTGTTCCAAAAAAGGATATGATTAAAGCAATGCTTCATTTGTTAATGGAGGATATGTGGGTACAGTAAATGGGTACATTTCAGTAACTGAGGGAGAAGGTGAAATATAAAGTTAGTTATTTGGGTAATTGTACTGTACATATTTAATTATTTTTAATAACTCCCTCAGAATGTAAGCAGAATTCTTCCAGTGTCAAGCTTATTTAATAGAATGATTATTATTATTTATTCTTATTTCAAACTATAGAATATTAAGCAGAGTCTACTGCTGTTATGACATCCTGTCATTAATAATAATAATAATGTATATATTTCCATTTATGGTTATACATAATCATGCACATGCTAAACTCAACTCTACAAAAAAGGATAATACACATACAATAATAATTTACAATTGATCAATACATGCACATCTCACCATTTTGACTCTTACAGCAACAGGCACAGACTCATCTGAAGAACTGTCTGTATGTGGTAGAAAACAACCATAAACATGTTTAGGGTTAATGTAGATGACCACATAAAAAACAGAAATACCAACAATAAGAGAAAAGGCTCTTTGTTAATCTAGACTCAGCAGCCTGGTTTAATATGTGCAAAACGTCCTCAAGCAAGTATCTTGGGGATCAGAGACTGGTAAGAGTTTTTAAAGGTCGATGTTTACTGTTCAACTATAAATATTCTTATTCTAATGAGAAGCAAAAACGAGAGATGTGAAAGAAACCATGGGTCTTCACAGTCTCATAAAAATATGGAATTTTAAAAATCATAAAGGTCAAAATAAGAGAAATAACATAATATATAGAAAATAAAAGAGCTCACTAACCTCTAGCATTGGCAGTAGATTCAGTAGAACACTGATTTTTATTTACAGATTCTCTCCTGTTCTGTGCCAAAAAGAAAGGATAAGATTAAAGCAATGGTTCATGTATTAATGGAGGATATGTGGGCACAGTAATTAGGTACATTTCAGTAACTGAGGGAGAAGGTTAAATATAAAGTTAGTTATTTGGGTTGATTCAGCGGTTGATCACTACATGCACATCTCACCATTTTGACTCTTACAGCAACAGGTACAGACTCATCTGAAGAACTGTCTGTGGTAGAAAAAAACATGAAATACAGAAACACTAACATTGAGAGAAAAAGCTCTTTGGCAATCTAGACTCAGCAACCTGGCTTAATATGAGCAAAATGTCCTCAAGCAAGTATAGTGGGGATCAGAGAACTGAAGAACAGGTAATTCAAAGTAAATAGTGTGATGTTGAGACAGAGATCAGATCACTAATGGTAGATCACTAACTAATGAATCTGAAATGCAAATGTTGATTCAAACTCACTCAGTTGGACTGTTTCCTCTTCAATTCCACATACAGGTGATTCCAGAGTCAGTGTCACCTATGGTAAAATAGTGGTAATAATGGTAGTGATTTTAAAACATTTCTCCATGATAATAACTTAATGGATAATTGTCAAAAGTAATCTGTAGAGCCAAAAAAAACTAAAATATCAAAGTTGATTCATAATCCACAGAATACAATGTGAGGCTGAACTACAACATATGAATATGGTTTGAATTAAAGCCTATGGGCTTATAACTTTGGTACTGTATATACAAAATACCTCTCTAATTGACTCCCTCTGTTGTCCAAATTCTGAAAGACACCCATTCTAGGAGAAAAAAGGAAAAGTTAATATAAATAAGATGAGGTTCACATATTTTCACAAAAATGTCAAATAAATTCAGACCTTACACTAGCTGTGTACATACTTGAATGAGTTTCAGTAATTTAACTTGTTGAAGGCCATTTGATGACTTGTAATAGATGCTACCCTTCCACTTCTTGTGATGCCCTTTTCCTCCAAACTTCTCAAACATACTGGGCGTAAACCATTTCCCTTCACATGAAATACACTCCTCTCCTAAAGACAGAGAAACATAAAAAACATACAGAACATATGAATGGGTGCACATATTTAAAATAACAAATGCTGTTTTTTTTAAAACGGACATAAGGAGACATTTATTTTATACATAAAACTGGTGTATTATTCACTTTATATATACTGTGGTCCTGTCCACACAAACACAGGAATTTTCAAAACCACAGCTTTTTCTATGCAGTTTGGCTCTTCGTACAGATGCAAACGCAGTATCATGACACTGAAACCGAACCTTTTTGAAAACTCCTGCCAGGGTGAAGATTTTCAGAAACTCTGGTTGCATGGTTGTCATGTAGCCTGTTAAACTGGAGATTTTGGCTTGGTGACATCAGAGTGCACGCTTTTTTGTCAGGCTTCTGATTGGCCAACATGGCTTTACAGTTAGGGTTATATCACCACCTGTTGGTTTGGTATGCTCTTGACAGTGCTTCATAGCATGTTTTTGCGTTTTCATGTGGACTAAGCCTAAAAAGACAAAAATATTGGGGACACACCTCTTAATTACTGAATTCAGGTGTTTTAATCAGACCTATTGCAACAGGTGTCTAACTCCAGCACCTAGCCATGCAGTCTGCATTTACAAACATCTGTGAAAAAATGGGTCATTCTGAACAGCTCAGTGAATTCAAGCATGATACTGTGATAGGATGCCACCGTAGCAAAAAGTCAGTTTGTAAAATTGCTCTGCTAGCTATTCCACAGTCAAATGTAAGTGGTATTATAAGAAAGTGAGTATTTAGGGGGAACAAAAGAAGCATTTAGGAACAGCAGTGACCATGTAAAGTCACAGAGTGGAGTCACTGAGTGATGAGGCTCATGGTGCATTAAGTCGCTAACGCTTTGCTGCTTCCATAGTTGAAGAGTTCCAAACTTCCACTAGCATTAATATCAGCACAAAAGCTGTGCAGTGGGAGCTTGATAGAATGGATATCCATGGGTGAGCAGCTGCATGCAAGCCTCACATCACCAAGTACAATGCCAAACGTCAAATGGAGTGGTGTAAAGCACACCAACACTGGACTCTGGAGCAGAGGAAACCTGTTCTGTGGAGTAATGAATCACACTAATCTGTCTGGCAGTCTGATGGGTGATTCTGGGTTTAATGGATACCAGGAGAACGTTACTTGCCAGACTGCATCGTGCCAACTGTAAACTCTGGTGGAGGAGGGATAATGTGCTGAGGCGCGTTGTGCATAAACATGGGGCTGTTTTTCAGGATTTATGCTAGGCCCCTTATTTCTAGAGAAGGGAAAACTTAATGTTCCAACTTCATGAGAACAATTTGAGTAAGGCTCTTATCTTTTCAAGCATGACTGTGCCGCAGTGCATAAAGCAAGGTCCATAAAGATGTGGATGAGTTTGTTATGGAAGAACTTGACTGGTCCCCACATTTGTAGCCCTGACCTCAACCCCATCAAACATCTGCTGCATGAATGGGCAAAAATTCCCAAAATCTTGTAGAAATCCTTTCAAGTAGAATCATTCTGCTATAGGGTCAACCCACGAAATCAGTGCCTTTTCAGTGCCTGGTCAGAGGAGAACTGGCCCCCCGACTGAGCCTGGTTTCTACCAAGGTTTTTTCTCCATTCTGTCACCGATGGAGTTTTGGTTCCTTGCCACTGTCGCTTGGCTTGCTTAGTTGGGGACACTTAATTTCCAGCGATATCGTCAACTTGATTGCACAGATACTATTTAAACTGAACTGAACTGGATGATGACATCACTGAATTCAATGATGAACTGCCTTTAACTGAAAATTTAGTGTTTACTATTATCATTTTGCATTATTGACACAGTATTTTCCTATTTAATGCTGTACAGTTGCTTTGACACACTCTGTATTGTTAAAAGTGCTGTATAAATAAAGGTGACTTGACTTGACTTTTCCACTTGGAAAATAAATAAGTTTAATCAACATTTTTATAAATGTCCACGAAATGAAGACACCTTAAAATGACAAGAAATTGTATTGTGCCATCTCGGGATATGCAATTTATTATTTTATGACTATTGTTCTACCTCATGTGTTGGTATTTTTGTAAACCCTGTTATCGACACAAACGTTACTAGAAACTATAGTTTAATTAAAACTATGTGATAGTTTTCACATATATTAGAAACATTTTAGTCCCTCTTGTCACTGGGATTGTTAAAAATTTTGGATTTTATTTTTTAAATATATTTTTATATTGTCATTCAGATGACCAAGAACATTCTAATTTTGGAGGGTGACCACATGTCAATTAAGAAAAATATATTTTTACAAGAGAGACATTAAAAAAGGGCTTTGTCCAAAATAAAATATAGTTAATGTTACAATGGGAAAACTTGGAAGGCTGTATCAAATATACTTTTTTACAATTTTTATGAAATTAATGATAGTAACGGGATTGATGTCATAGTCACAGAGCTGACCAGAGTAACAGGGATGACAGGACACACATTCTTCAGCACACTACACAGCAGTTTTATACTGCAGGTACAGTTTTACGACTTACTTAGCAGCGTTGCCTGAAAATAGTAAACAGTAAATTTTTCAATTTAAGTCAGTTCATTGTTGATTTAGCACATTACATTTCTAAGAGATCTAATGTTTTAAGGGTATTTTACTTAGATAATGCGTTCCATCTGTTTCTCTGTGTCCCCTCACAGAACTTCAAATATACTGAACTGGTTCAATTATTAGGCAAGGAAGATGATCAGATCTTGGTCTTTCTGTAATCATCTGAAACCAGACTAAGATCTTGACTTTCTTGAACATTGCAAGACTGGGGTGAAGGTCTGCAGTCATCTTGCTGCTCTTGTTTGTAATTGAATTTACATGGATGCATTATTGACAATGATTTATAGAAAAAAATATATAGTTTTATTGAGACTGATAATCCTATCCCGGCCATTAACAGCAACAGTAATAGTAACAATTACAAAAATACTAACTAAAATGTAACTCGTGCTCATATGCCACTGAATGATATAGGCATTAGCTCAAAATTACACCCAGGGTGACCATTAAACATGTTTGCATTTTACACAGACAATCTTTAAAAACAGGGTGACACCTAATCTATGTCATCCCTGTTACCCTGAAAAGTAACAGGACTGACAGTAATAGGTTTGACTATTTCAAACTAATTTGCTAATTTCTAGCTAATAGTAAAGTTCACAAAAGCACATGTTGTACACTTTGAAAGGATTTTACTTGTAGATATCAATTGTATTAAATGTAATAAATAATTGTTTAAATTTGTGTTTTAAGTGTAAGAATCCTGGTTGAGAGATACTGTAACCTCCTAGAAGTGATGTGACTTGAATGTACATTATTTTACAAGTTTTTTTTGATGAGGGTAACAGGGCTGACATGAAATCAGGAGACACCAATAAAATGATTAAAATTTTATAGAAAAATGCATACTTATGCCAAAAATATTGCTTAACAATGAGATTATATGCAAATGAGATTTTATAACATTTTGCCTTCATTTTGCAAATTAAAAGTCCTGCTGAAAAAGAAAAATCACAGTGAGGGTGTCACGATTTCGGTTCATGGACTTCCGTTTATTCACCACCAGATGTCACACTTTCCATTACATTGACTCTCGCACTACACAAACTGTTGCATAGCACCCCTGACTACATTTCCCATCATTCTTTGCACAATTTGCACACTGCCCTGATTGCACTGATTGCACACAGCTGTTTCTAATCACCTCACTCACTATATAACACCTCACACTTTCCATTACACTGACTCTCGCACTACACAAACTGTGTCATAGCACCCCATAGCACTACATTTCCCATCATTCTTTGCACAATTTGCACACTGCCCTGATTGCACTGATTGCACACAGCTGTTTCTAATCACCTCACTCACTATATAACACCCACTCTAACCACATTTCTCTGCTGAGTATTGTTTAGCCTGTACCCCTTTCCAAGTCTCCGTGTTTTCCTTGTTTTGCCTTGCCTGTTTTTGCGGTTTTTGATCTTTGCCTGTTTTCTTGGATTTCTCCCTCTCGTCTCGCCCCTGTGATTCTGTCTGCTGATCGGTGACCTACGCTAGCCCTGTGACTATTCTTGTGTTTTGCCCGCCATATACCTGTTTGCCAGTGTTTTGACCCTGCCTGTTTACCACGTCTCTTTAATAAAGCCTGCAGATGGATCCACATGTCTCACGTCTTGTCAGCCCCGTTACAGAGGGACAGGCCAAAAACCTTACCATTATCAGCATAAATGTTATTTAAATTATTTAAAATAATATTTAAGTGACTTTTTAATGTAATATTGATGAAAGAATACATTGTATTGTTATGTTTTTAAATTGCAAATTTATTCGTTGTTATATTAAATCTATGTTTTATTATTTCTTAGTGACACAAAAGGCACCAATTTCATGGAATGATCCTATAGCTGAAGTGGGTGCATGTATTTATTTATTAAGTGACACTCTACATTAGTTAAATCTAATTTCAATCTGACTACATAGAAACTACATCTGCAATTTAATATCACAATGTGAAAAATAAATCAAATAAATAATATTGTTTTCCTCCCAAAACTTACCATTGTCATATTTTATTCTGTACAGACAACCTGCAATTTTTCCACAATGGACTGCCAGCTGGTCCTTTTTTCTGACCTCTTGAAAGACATCTGTTAGGTCTACCCCTAAAAAAAAAAAAAAAAAAAAAAAAAAAAA